ATCCCTTCGTGCGTCGGGTGGAACAAGAAGTTGGGCACCTTGGCTTCGTTGCAGAAGGAGCTGTAAACCGCAGCCGAGGGCCCCAGCCTGTTCGCCATCTCCTTGGCCACGTAGTTGAGGTGCTCGGCGCGGGAGTTGAAGCCATGCACGAGGATGTAGAGGTGCGAGGGGAGACCCTCCCCTCCCTCCTCCCCATGATCCTCCTCCACCAGCGACATCGCCATCAGCCCCAGCCCTTCCATCTCCTCCTCGCGGCTGCTCGCCTCATCGCTCAGCAGCGTCCTCAGGCTTTCCCTGCGCCTGGAGGAAGGGGAAAGGAGACTCTTCATGCTGGGACTTCCTCCATGTCACTCAACTGAACCCTCCTGCCTCCATCCACCTGCAGTATCAATCACAACAACAACAACAACCTTTTCCTCCTCCTCTCAGCGATAGGTACGGCACCACTTGATTCCTTTACTGCTCTGTTTGCCCTGATTTCTATGTTGACTCGCTGCTCCATCCAGTTCTCAATCCTACCCCGTTCTAGCTCAAGTTCCTCCTCCCTCCTCCCTCCCTCCCTCCCTCCCTCCCTCCCTCCCTCACTCACTCACTCACTCACTCACTCACTCACTCACTCACTCACTCCCTCCCTCCCTCCCTCCCTCTTCCTCCTCTCTGTCTTGTGCCCAACGTGCTTTGTCCATTTCTGTTTTCTCCTCTATAAAAACATTTTAAACTTTACTCTTTTTTATTGCAGTACACCAAGAGGTCCCAGTTACTACCAAATTAAAATTACTTTCCTATGTGTGCAAACTCGACGACGACGACGACGACGACGATGGTGAGGAGGAGGAGGAGGAGGGGAAAGAGAGGGGACAAGGCCACTGGAGGGAGGGAGGGAGGGAGGGAGGGAGAAAAAAGATAGTAGAGATAAAGGAAGGAAGGAGGGGAAGGGGCCTGCGGAGCGGCTATCGATGTAACAAGAGGGGTCCTTCTCTGCATGAAATCTCGTTCCTCCTTTCAGTTCTCCGCATTGAAGAATCGAGGAGGCGCAGGGGGTCGCCCGCCCAGCTGACGGACCAGCAGATCCGAGTCATCGGGCCCTCAGATCCTGTACGCGTCACGTCGGTTGGTGAGGACGAGGTAGAGGAAGCGCTGGCGATCTGCTCGAAGGTCCTCCTACTTCTCCTCGTTCCTCGCCCGCTCATTCCTGAAAGGAGTCACTTGAGAGGTTACGTATACTTCAGTTAACTAGCCGATTTATCCTGTCGGTTTGATGATAAATCTATCCTAACTTTCTATACGTTCATCGAGCGTGTTGAGGTTCCTGTTTGCTTGCTTAACGCAAGACAGCAAGTGGGCTCAAGTTCAGATTCAAGGTAGATCATCAGGGTTGTCAATCCCTAACAATTCCCTGCTTGTCCTGGTCCAGCAAGGACACTGGGACCCTCCAGGTGCGGCTGAGGGGCAGCAGCGTCCAGAAGGAGCGAACCATGCCGAGCACAGTGAGCGACAACTGCGAGCAGTGAAGGCGGGAGAGAGAGCAACGAGGTCGGCGACTGAGATGGAGGTGTACATACATCCCTGACGCCTTAAGGCTGACGGCCATCAGTCCCCAGCTGGCCCTGAGATGCGAGCGAGTAGTCGGTGATGAAGCACCCGAGGAGCTGGAGGCTCTGCTAGGGAAAGCGATGCTTGCTCCTGGGCGCCATAAGGGTAGACATGCACCATTGTTGCTGTTCCGAGCCAAGCGATCAACGATGGACGAGACGGACTTGTAGGATGTTAAGTCAGAGGGTTGACCGGCATGACATACTCGTCCAAGGACATGCCATGATGAGCTCACAGATGACAGTCATCTGTGACCTGTAGCATGAACGGCGCCAACGAGCTCCCCGTCCTACAAGACTGTCTGAGTGGTTTAAGCTGTACGAGCGGCATTATGGGAGGAAATTACTCCTCCATTTCTGAATGCAAGTCGATGATGTCTGTCTCGGCTAGTAGGAGCTGGTAGTGTTACTGACTCCCTTAGCTCATGTTTCGAGATTCATCTCATGCTTTCCTGCAAGCCTTCAAGGATCAGCGCCATGGATCATGCCATGGATCATGCCATGGAGGGCCTTAAGTGCCATGGCGGTTGCGACCGATCTGCTGCTCCTACCCTACTTCTTAGGTCGAATGGAGGGGTAGTGAGAGCGAAACTCTAGAGTAGGGGTGATTTCATCGAGTAAAAGAGGGGTGTAGCTATGTAAGGTGGTCAAAAATCAGGTAACAAAGGTACCGGTGTCTTTTCATACGAATGTACCCCTGGTATGAAATTTGCCACCCTCCGTTTTGGAGGGCCAAGAACCCCTCCTGATTTCACCCAGTACCCCTGTATTTTCCGGTGTTGATTGGGGTGTTGATGGGTGGTCCTCGGAAGCCCTTCCCGTTTGGCGCCATGGCGTTTGCAAGAACGGCGCACTCGTACATGCCGTTCGCGGAGCTGGGCAAGATGCTGAGCCAGGAGGTGAGAGGAGAGGAGGAGGAGAGCAGAAGATGATGAGAGGAGGAGAGGAACAATGCACGAGGGGACGAGAAGGGAACGAGAGAAGGGAATCGAGGGAAAAGCGAAGATGGAAAGGAGAGGAAAAGCGTGGAGGAGTTGAAGGATGGTAATATATAAGACTGTAGAATCAGACAATTCCGAAATGTCAGATTCAGAGTGGAGGGATATAGTTAGCTGGATATAGTCGGAGCTGGAGGGAGTGAGATGGAGGCGGTTGGCGAGGTTTGAAGCATTTCATCCCTGAAAGAATTGACGACGCAGGATGATGAAGAGAAATCAAAAGATGGCGAGAAAGACGATCAGGAAGAGAAGGACAAGGATGAAAAGACTTCCAAGAAGAGGTTCTCTTGTGTGTAATGCTTACTTGTCTGTGCTCTGAATCGTTCAAAATATCAGAAAGCGAGCAAGACTGGACAAGAACGTAAAGACTTGAGCTCCTTCCTCCCGGCACAGGTCATGACGTTGCTACTTGCAGGCGTTTCAAGAGAAGTTGATCTCACCAGACGGCCTTACGAAACTTTACCGGTGACTTGTGCAGAGCAGACGAGGCTGTGACTTCTAACTCTGTGACCTGAAAGAATCTTCCGTGACACCAAGTTCAAAGGAAAGGGACACGAAAAGACTGACTTGAAGTTGATGATGTCAAAGTACCAGGTCTCTCCGACACAAGCTTCTCGTACATCTTACTGACAAGACCTGCCCTTGGCAGGAATGGGCATACCAGCTCTGCCCAGCCCTGTCTTTCGATGACGTAATCTTCAAGGTGGCTTCTGTCTCGTTGGCTCCCAGTCGGTTGACGCTGCATCAGGTCGAATCTGTTGGAAACACGTTCATGATCCAACGAGCGCTCGACGCATACCGTGAAGTGGAGGTCGAAACTCTCCCCTGCTGGCGTCCCGTGACATGGGGGCAGGCGGACAAATACAAGGAAGACAAGGATGGCAAGGAATCAGCCGGGGAATCCACCGCGTTTGAAGCAGGACCAGTAGAAGACCAGGAGCAGCAGAAGCATGCTGGGACAGGGAGCGAGGCCCCGCAAGCGATGGTCTCACTGGAGGAGGATGACGATGGTAGCACTGTGAAGCGAGGAGTGTCAAGCGACAACCTGATGCTGACGCAGAGGAGCCTGAGGACCCCAACCAGTACATGCAGCAGGAAGAGTGGCAGGAAGATGTGGCGGCTGAGTACGTTGGTAACGCTGTGAGAGTAGAAGCGTCTGCTCGGTCTAAACTCGAATGCAGAAGAGGAGAGTAGCGCTGAAAGAAACAGTGACGAGAAGCCTGCGTCAAGCATCTCGGATGATGTGCTCAAGAGAATCGAAGAAAATAGACTGAGAGCGAAGAAGCGCCTCGAAGCTCTGCAAGCTCAGGGGTCTACAGGTTGAGGCTCATTGCCATGAGAACTGCTGACCAGTGAAGGAATGGCAGGTGCGACAGATGAAGGGAGCGAAGAGCGGGAGGCAGACAGTGAGGCTTGTTGAAGGCTTGGATGCCGTGCTGATAAGACCATCCTAGATCCACCTGAGTTAGCGGAGCAACAAACCAACGATGGTGACGAGTGGCAGGAGGACGAGGGTGCTGCGTATGTCGGTGATTCTCTGACGCGTTTGTCGCGATTCTTCTTCACAGCTCGTTGGCAGGTGAGAGCGACGAGGAGAACAAGTCTGACATCACCTTCGAGACTCCAAGCAAGGACGTCCAGCCTCCTCTCTCCTTGTGCTCTCCTCAACCCTCAGCAGCTTCTCTCTCAGTGGGGAAGAGTGTCGCCAAGTCCCCGGCAGGTGTGAGGGATGCAGAAGTGCAGGAATGCACGACAAGCAAAGAAGAAAAGAAGGAGGAGGAGGACGCGAGTGCAGAAATCTTGCTGTTGCACGAAGCAGAGAGCCAGCAGACTGATTCCGCCAAGGATGTCGAAGCAAGCTTACCTGGCAAGGACCTCGTGTCAGACGAGACGGTACAAGTCGAGAGAGCAGAGCCAGATGCGCCTGTTGCTGTGAATGACAACGAGCTGACCGAGGACGAGGAAGACCTTGTGGAGGATGTGATATGAAAGATGGCGCTGCTAGTAAAGCTGGTCACTGTTGACGGCTGGTCTTGATGTGACCTCGTCGGATCACTCGCTTGCTCCCTTGAGAGTTGGCCACAACTCGCGACGCGTCACAACCTCCAAGCGCAGCTGAATCGAGTCTCGTTCATCACTCGGATCCTACACGAGACCATCATTGTACTATACATGAATAGATGCAATGGGAGCAGCTCAAATGCAAGATGAACTACGTGCTTGAATCTATCTGAATATTATCGCAAAGGCACCTGGAACATGATCTCCTTCCATCCTTCACTGTCAATCTGTTGTCGCTCGAGCTTTGTGTGTGTTACAGGGGGCAGAGAGCTCGTCTCGGTTCTCCTCGCTCCCTCGCCTGACCCCTCAGGCTCGATGTGGCTGACTGACGTTATTGCGCCTGTCATGCCCGGCACATGCGATGAGATCAAACGAGTCGGAGAGTTTCATCCTCCTCCCCTCACTCCTGCACCAACATCGCCTGACTGACAACTTACTGCCTGCGTTTGACCTCGCCAGGCCTTCTGTCGGAAGAGACCGACGAGCTGACATTCCAGCTCAGGTTTTATCATAGAACATCATAGGGGGGGTCTACAATCCTTCGCCTCCTCTCTCGCACCAGCAGCACGACGACGACAATGCCAAAGAGGCTCAGCACAAGCCAGGGGACTAGCGACGTCGCGGGGGGGGCACGAAAGGCTCTTGCCTTGGTCTGGAGGAGAGCCTCCTGCTTCATGAGCTCTTGGGGAACCACCGGGATGGGCCTGCCAAGCTCCTCGGACATGACGTCGTTCATGGTCGGCGGTGCCACGAAAACACCGAGAGTAGAAGAGCCCGTGTCGAAGGCCAACTTGAAGAGCTGCGGGGGAGTACCGATCGTGAGCTGCACGAAGTACTGAGTGCCCTGCGAGTTGTCCTCGATCGGCAGTTTGTCTACTCCCCGATGCACGTGCATGCGCACAAGAGGCTCGCCGAGCTCGTTAACGGGGATGATGGGAGTCGACTCGGGGATGATCTTGTAGTTCGCGTTGATCTTTGCGACGCCGATGGTGGCTGGCTCCACCCTCGATGAATGTTCCATGTCGAACAAGACGGCATAGTTCCTGAAGAACACATCCCCCAGAATGATGCTGCCCTGTTGCAGAGGCGGCGACCCTCGAACGCAAGGCTTGTCCGTCCCTGTGATCAGCAGGCTTTCGTAGGGGAGAACCATCTCCTCGCCGTTGACAGTCATGTAGACGTTGCTGCCGGATGACTTGAGCCCTTCGTTGATCATCTTCGCGTGAGCTGCACTGAAGAGAGAGGGAGGATGGCGGAAGTGCTTCACAAAGATCTCGAATGGCGACTCTTTCAGCAGCCCCCCGTGGTCGTTGGACGGCAGCACCAGGCACGAGGTTCCTGCACTTCCAGTCAGCCCACAAGAAGCTCAGTGACAGCTCGACGCTCTCCCTGACCTGTATCGAGCACAGCTGGGATGACGTTGCGCTTGTTGTCCTCTGCCTGAACGACATCTTCGCCACCAGCTTCATCCATTGCCTTGTCATCTTCATCTCGAAATCGCAAAACTTCAACTGCGTTCTCCGGTGAAGTTCCCAAACGGATCGACGAGACTCCAAGAACGAATTCACCGGAGGAGAGCGACTTGAAGTACTTCATCTCTCCTCCCTCCACTGACTGCGGGTCATATCCCCCCAGTTGAACTTCTCCATGGTCCTTGGACGCGAAGAAGGTGTACCTCCTCTTCAACCCGCGAGCGTTGCTCTCCACGTTCCTCGGGTCCGTCAGCGCCCACAGCAGAGGCATCGGCAGCTTTTCGCCATTGGCACCGACTTTGGGGATACCAAACCCTGCGACTCCGTCCACGTTCTTGAGCAGGGGTGTCGATGCTCGCAGAAAGCAGCCGAAGGGCACCCGCGCCTTGTAATGGCCCAGCTGCATCAAGATCAGCTGGACATGGAGGGGCACTGACAGAACTTGCCTGCACGTAGTCGAAGCAGGTGATGGCTTCAATGGCGTTGGCGTCTGTGAATCATGCTGTCATGCTGCCTGGAAGCAGGAGAGGGTTCGCAGAACCACGCTGCTCGTCTACCTGCGTACTGGATGGTGAAAGGAAGCTCTTCCCTGGCGACGAAGGTGGAAGACTTGGAGGGCTGGTAGAGGATCTGGAGGCGACATGAGAGGTATCTTCATACTCTCCCTTCCCTCCTGTTACCTGCTTTCCTTCCACCGCCATCAGCCCCACCCACATCACCGCCGCCACCGCCCTCAGCATTTTCATCGCTCGAAGGGTCGCTGATGTGATCCACGCAGATGGTAGACCATATTGATTGAATCCCCCCGCATCCCCCCACACACCCTCCACCTTCCAACTCAGAGACAGTGGGACAGCACCCCCCTTAGCAGGAACCCTCCTCCTCTCCTCAAGGGGTCATCCGTAGGAGCGAGGGAACAGCAAGGGAAGAGACGAGCAAACGCATCGGATACGTCGATGGCGCCACAGGATGTCGATATCATGAGCAAGGAGGCTCTGCGCATTACTTGAGGACTTACAGCAGAGTTGTAAGGGTTTCAATGTCGTTGGGGGAGAGCAGAGATTAGGAGTACCACGGAAAATGTTGAAGAAACATGTCATGACCTGGTTGGCATCTGTCATGGTACATCTTCATCATGCCGTCTACAAGCTAATCTCTTTGCACGAAAGGTGCTTGTAACCATTACTATTCCTGTTTCAGACAAGGCCAACAACCATCAGCTCCACCGAGTTGTAAGTTGAGGTTTGAGGTTCTTATTGCTCACTCTTGACCCTTGCATCTTAGCCTCTACTACAAGAGCAGAAACTGATCGATCCAGGTCAGAGCATTGGAGCGCATGCAGACATCCTCGCTCTGACTTCCCTCGCAGCTTCGATTCCCAACTATTCACCCGGCAAGTTGTCGCCATCAGCGCCGAGAGGTTGGCAGCTCTCTGCTGTTGCAAGAAGAGGCTGAAACAAGAAGCAGGTGAACAAGGTCAGCGAAAGGAACTGGAAGAGAGTGCAAGTGACGATGCGGAATCACACTCAATGCGTGCCTTGGACTTCGGCAACTTGACCCATCCTGGTCCCGATGGTTCCAAGACCAGCCAGCCGCAGATGTACTTTTTGTGCTACATGAACGATCGTTGGAAGGCCATGCTTCTGCATATTCCTAAGAACGCTGGAAGCTCAGTCGCGGAGAACCTGGCAGATATATTTTGTGCAGCAACTGAAAATGCGACATGCGACACCAAAGAGCAAAGGTGAGGTTTTAGGGATGCCGCAGTACGCGTTCTTGTGACTGCTGAACCTCAAGGATGAAACATTTCAAGATATCCGAGAAGTGTGTGAAGAATCCATCTTATTTCTCTTTTGCCTTCACAAGAAACCCGTGAGCTTGCTCGCCGTTGGCCTATGCATCTCACCTGTGAGTTGTTCTACCTAGGTGGGATCGCGCAGTGTCTTTCTGGAGCTACGGGCTGAAAAGGAGGCAGCTGGCTGTCAAGGACTTGAAGAAAAGAAAAGAGCTTGCGGCAAAGTACTGCAGCTTCAGACAGTTCCTCTTCAACAAGGGGCGCGGAGGGTGCGGGTACCACACGGAGTATGAGCAATACCCTCTCATCTACGACTCCAAGGGTCGGCCAGGGCTCAACTTCCTCGGCCGAGTTGAGCACTTCCAGCGAGACTTCCAGGCGATCTTAATGCGGATCGACCCCACGGGGAAACTCCTGGCCGTCTACCGTAAGCTGGGGTTTGTGATGCACAACGACTCGGGGCACAGACCCTACCAGGACTACTACAGCGACGATGAGATGAAGACAAGAGTGACTGCCAAGTGGCCACAGGACGTGAAACTGGGATACACATTCAACTTCACGGGGGTCAAGATGAACATCACGACTTACGCTGACGGTAAGCCTGCAGCAGAGCTCATGTTTGGGGATGTCGCGTAACAATTGATTGAACTTGGCATGATCAACACCGTCACGGTACTTCCCGGAAGTTCCCGGAGGCTCGAGAGGCGGCGCCCGGCGCGCGGGTCGCTTTCCATCGAGCCTTGCCGCTGTGCCGCGGGTCACACGGTGTGCCATGGCTCAGTGCTGCAATGGCACGGGCCCCGGCAGTGACAGACGGTCACGGGTAACTTAACCCGGCGTTGCGGCGGCGTGATCGGACTCCGGGACGCAGCGGGTCCGATCACCGTCGGCGGGTTGCCACTGAGCGGCCGCCACGGGAACTTCGGAACTTGTGACTGGCAGCAGTGCCAGGTGGCGGCGTACTCAAGTTAAGTTAGTATCAGGCGTACAACTTTGGCAACCGTGTGACGGTTAATTAAAAGGTAACCGTCGGTCTAATAAAAAATCATTAAAAATCAGGCTGACGTCAAACCTCGAGTCCGCCTCAACAGCATTTCAGTTCAGTCAACTCTTTCATCGCCCTCATACATGGGGACCTGACGTTCTATGACATTGCTTACCTGCTGACACAGGTGTACCCCTTCTTTTTACTGAAATTGAGGTGGTAGGGGTACATGGGCACTGCAAGCTAGAGGTTTCATCTCTTGTGGAGTTCCAAGATGGGGGTGGGGTGGGTGAGACATGGAAAATAATGGGTGGGGGTTGAGAACAATGATCGAGTGGGTGGGTGTCATGGAAAGACTGGGGAATTGATCAGGGTAGGGTGGTTAAAAAAGATAGTGTTTAGCTGTAGTAAAAAAGAGCTGGGTCCTGTGGTGGTCATATTTTACTGGGTAGGGGGTACAGGAAACAAGATTAACAGGGTAGGGGTCATTCAGATGGGGTGGGTAACTCTTGAACATGTAATGCATGCGCTGGGCGATGATCGGAAGAGTGTAGAACTTCCTTCACCTCCTCTTCATCCCCTCCCCCTCCTCCATCCCCTACCTCTCTTCCTCTCCTCCTCCGCCTCCCTCCTCCCGCCTCCCTCCTCCATCCCCTACCTCTCTTCCTCTCCTCCTTCTCCTCCCGCCTCCCGCCTCCCGCCTCCCTCCTACCTCTATCCCATACTTCTCCCCTCCTCTCCACCTGCCCTAACTGCTGCTGCTGCTGCTGCTGTCCCCATGTGCTGCTGTACTGGCACCTCAACAGCTCCACCAGATCCAGCTCCTCATGTTCCTCTGATGTTAGGCTCGTCTCACACTGCTGCTAATGCTCCTCGCTGCTCGGCTTAGTGTTGAACTTTCATGTCTTCTGATAATTGACTTGTGGTAATCTTTTGTGTAAGCCTTTCGACCCACTTCTTTCGGGCAATTGTTCTAGTTTCAGGCTGCTGCTTCTCTCGTGCTTGGTTTTCGTTGGTTTTCTCTGCACATTAAGAGGAGACGAGGTGTTTATGCCCCCTTGGAGAGACTTCATGTCGAACCGGTCGTCACCTGACGTTTGATTGCAGCGTGATGGAAGCTCACGAACCCCCTAGACGTCAACGCGAAGTCAACTGGAACATGCTGACTCCTCTCTTATGGGCACCGACCATTCCAATGTCACGAATCCTTCTGAAGAACAATCCAGTATGGAGGAATCGCGTGTTCTTCTCGTGCGTAGGAGTTTGTAAGCATTTCGACGACTTGTTGTACAGGCTGACTTGCCATACAGTGTTTGCTCACGGTCTATACATGTGGCCGCAGAAAGGAACCGACGGCTGATGAAGGGCATACATGGAATTATACTTTGAGAAATCAATCGGTACTAAGGTATGATTATAACAGTCAAGAGCCTCAGTGTTTCATTAATGAACTACATATGACAACTCCATGCTCTTGTTGCTGTTGGCCGGTCTTGTTCGCGGAGCCCCTCGGAGGCTCATCGGTTTGTGGGGGCCTGGACGAGTGACGGCCTGCGAGCAAACGCTTCAACACCTTGTCACGCTTGGCACGTCGCGAGAGCTTCTCCACAAGATCAAGGCTCAGACAGCCACACAGTCTTCTCACGAGGAGACACCTGCCCCGAGTGGGTTCTCCGGACATGCCGGCTCTCGGGCTAAGCTGTCTCGTTCGACCAATGTGCAGCATCTCTCCTCACAGCCACACAACAAGAGACACTCGTAGAGAGAGATGAGACTTCACCTGCTCAGAGCTATCGATGCCCCTCCTCCGTCCTATCTGCACCATTTACATGTCGATGCGCCTCCTTCGTCCTATCTGCACCATTTACATGTCACAAGCACTCCATCACGTCACGACTTCAATCTGTTTCATCACAGTTCGCTCAGTACCCCTGCGCATCATTCATAGGTAGCACAAGGCCACGTGAAAACATATCAACAACAGACGATGCTGAAATATTTCACTTCTCCTAACACGCAAACTTTCTTCGTCGCGAGGGCAAGAGACAAGAAACATGCAAGACGAACAGTAAAATAAAAAATCTCACCTCTATCATCCAACCGCTCTCGAGATAGCGATGAGGACCATGTACTGGTGCAAAAGCTTTACATCACAAAGCTTCACGGGTTGTTGAATCACTGCTCAACGAACTTGACAAGCAGTAGGATATTTCACATGATTGACATGTCCGTATTCGACCTACAGAAGAAAACTTCAGTTCCAGTAGGACGAGATCCTTGTAGTTTTGTCCCAACGTTTTCTTCCCACTTGGTAATCGAAACGCATCCTAATACTGACAACCTGACCACAACCCTCCCCTCTTCTCATCCCTTCCTCTCCCTTCCCTTCCTCTACCTTCCCTTCCTCTCCCTTCCCTTCCTCTCCCTTCCTCTCCCTTCCCTTCCTCTACCTTCCCTTCCTCTCCCTTCCCTTCCTCTACCTTCCCTTCCTCTCCCTTCCCTTCCTCTCCCTTCCTCTCCCTTCCCTTCCTCTCCCTTCCCTTCCAGTGTCCTCATTTATCTCACCTGGACCAGCATGGTCGAGCACGTGGGCCCTACCCCACCCCCTGTAATATCCAAATGTTCCACTACCCCTCCAGAACGGGTTCGAAGGGGGGTCCTGGTAAAAATAGTGGTGATGGAAATCTCAATGCACCCCACTCTTTCTATGTGATTTGAAGGGTAGTAGGGTAGTATATGAAGCCACCCCTATGGAGGAGGAGAGAGGGGGGTGGGGGTTAAAAAAAAAGAACGGGCACACGAGGAGGAGAACGCCATGCCGAAGAAGGGGAAGACAGCGCAGGAGAGCATCAACTCGCGCCTGGCGCTTGTGATGAAGTCGGGCAAGTACACGCTAGGATACAAGTCCACCCTCAAGACCCTCCGGTCGGGCAAGAGCAAGCTTGTCATCATCTGCAACAACTGCCCCCCTCTCCGAAAGTCTGAGATCGAGTACTACGCTATGCTTGCCAAGACCAACGTCCACCATTATTCTGGAAGTGAGTATTTTGTTTGCATTCCTGATTGTGATGTCATGTATCGTTCTGTGGTGTCCTTTCTCGGGATCGCGTCTCTTGTGTATCGCATGGCTGCCTCTGCTTTCTGTCGTGCTTCACTTTCAAAATATCGCTTCTACGTCACGAGAAGCTGAAGCGAAGTTTCTTCTCTTTCGGGAGTTCAGAGGCTTCGTGTGTTGGCTACCAACCAGATATCCACATCTCATCTCATCTCATCCCGTCTCATCTCATCTCATCCCGTCTCTTTCATCTCATCCCGCCTCTTCTCATCTCATCCCGTCTCTTCTCTTCTATGTATCTTTCGCCGTGCATTTCGTTGTGTGGTTGTTGCAAGCTCCCTCAGTCGTCGCAAGATTGACATTAGTTGCAGACAACGTGGACCTCGGAACAGCGTGCGGTAAGTACTTCCGCGTAGCCTCCTTGTCCATCACAGACCCTGGCGATTCAGACATCATCAGATCAGCTCCAGGAGAAGCATAAGCACATGAATGAAAACTCTTGTTAGCAGTCTAGCTCCCGTTGCTCTAACTCGCACATCATCCACGTTGTCACGCGTTCCTGCACGTTCATTCATTCCAACAGTTGGACTTCACTACCTCGTAGTCCCTTTACTCTGACCCTCCTCCACTCCTCCCCGTCACTCCCTTCCCTCCGGAGCTCCGATGCAGCTGGGCATGAGCTCGAGGGCTTCCTTGCGGAGGCTTTCACGGAGGTTGTAGAGCTGCTCGCCGGCGTTCTTGTTGGCGAGCACGAAGAGAAGAGAGTTGAGGGACTTGAGCAGCTGGAAGCTCTCCTCTGTCGCGTAGATGGCCAGCATGCCCCCCACCGGCGCTGTGAAGAACCACACGAGGCCCACGAACTCGCCGAAGGTGAACCAGAAGGCGCAGGTGCAGAGAAAGTGAGTGAGGGGGATGACGGCGGTGCCGGCGAGGATCTTCCAGGTTCCCTTGACGCTCATCTTGTTGGCCTTCCTCGCCTGCCAGTCCGAGACGACGGCGATGCAGAGCGAGACAGGGGCGACGCACAACCACCAGGGGAGGAGGAGCGCGACGAGCAGCAGCGCCATGGAGAGGCGATGCAGAGTCTTCATAATGACGGACAAGCGCTGGGAGTCCGAGAGGGCTCGCTCCCGGAAGCGCTGCACCTGATAGTCATGCACCTTGTACTGAGTGAGCATGTCGCTGCCATGGAGTCAGGGAGAGGCCAAGAGAAGAAGGAGGAAACGGGCCTCACCTGTACTGCCGGCACCGAGACAGGAAGTGTTGGACGCGAGGTTCCTTGCGCGTCTCGAAGTTGAGGCTGGCGGCGACGCTCTGAGTGAGGGCGACGTTGTCCTTGACCGACAGACGGGAGCCAAGAGGAACGAAAAGCCGACGGATCGTCCGGTAGAGCTCCAGAGTCTCCACATCCTTCGCCTGCTCCACCATCACAGCTGCCCCGCCTTCCTCTCCCCCTCCTCCCCCCCAAGCGTTCGCCCTCCTCTCACCTGCAGGGTCACTGCGCTCATCCCCGCCATGACGAGGTCCATCACGGCGGCGTTGGCCTCCTGCTTCGCCTGTGGATTCACAAGTGTCAGCCGCTGCAGCTGCCGCTGCGACCTTCACCTCCTTGCTCCCGCTCCTCCATCGGTCGACGGTCGCCTGATCCACATCGATCGGGTCCCCGAAGTCAACGGACACTGTGCTGCGAAATTGATGCGGAGAGAAGTAGTTGAGCCCGACCTGCCAGAATGTCATTTCCCCTCCTCCCTCCTCCCTCCTCCTCACCGGCACCACGGAAATCTTGAGAGGCTCTGGGCCCGTGTGCTTGGCCATGGCCCCGAGGACCATGGTGCTGATGCCCCACTTGAGGGGAAGAAGCTGCGGCAACCTCAGGCCCCTCCCTCACCCCACGCGCTTACCTGCGTCCCGTCGTGTGTCCCTCCCTCCGGAAAGATGCCAATGGTCCCGCCATGCAGGAGGAAGTCGTAGACCTGCAAGAGATGAGGAGCAGCGAGAGGAGGAGAGAGGAGGAAGAGAGGAGGAGAGGAGGAACTATGCCTGCTCGAACATCTCGCTCTGGTCCACGTAAGGTAGGAAACTGTAGGCCGATGGCTCTGTGACGTCGACGGATCGCTTGCTCACTCCCTGCTGCGTCGCCTCGTCGCCTGCCGCTCGCAGGGAGGTCTGCAGCCCCTTCTTCTTGGGCTCATGCCTGCTGCTTGCCTCAGCATGAATGGGAGGGGAGCAAGAGGAGGAAGAGAAATGAAGCGAGGAGAAGGGGGAGAGTAGAGTCGCCTTGTCAACCTGGCGAGGGAGCTCAGACGGCCGGAGGAGGCAACCTTGAGAAGCCCCTTGAGAGGAGCGACGACTCGGATGAGCTCTTCGGGCTTACTCTCGTCCCTCAGCACCTTGTAGATCAAGCTCGTGATGAGACACGCCAGCTGGCAAGCCAGCATGTACGCCATCGGCCACCAATTAGGGGGAAAGACCCTGGGGAGGAGGAGGAGCAGGGGGAGCAGCGTTGCGAGGAGGAGGAGGAGAGTCGTGGGTGTGGACAGTGCGCGGTGGAAGGCCTTGGAGTTGTCGGAGGGCTGGAGGGTCTTGACAGTCTCTTGCATCGGGGAGGAGAGAACCATCTCTTCGTCTGAGATCACCTCCGCCACCTTCCCGCTCAGCTTCGACCCCTTGCGCTTCACTACCAGCACGCAGCCTTTCTTGAAGCTCCTCGTGAACTGTGTTCCTCCGTGGCCTCTGACCTGGCAGCCCTGGGTGGTAATGAAGCCGCTTCCTCGCTCCTCGTTGTCTTCGGGACGCACGACGGGGATGCCCTTGAGGGCTCGCGCGAACTTGCCGATGGCCGGGCGAGCGAAGGACTTGGCAGCTGTCATCCAGCTGATGTGCCGCCGCGTCTTGAGCGCCACGACCTTCATGACGACGATGGGGTCGACGAACTGATTGACGTGCGGGGCACACGCGAAGATGACGGCGCGTCCGTCCTGGATGGGAAGAATCTTCTGCTCCCCTCCCACGGAGATCTCACGGAAGTACAAGTCCATCATGCCGAACCAGAACGAGCACACGGCTCTACGAAGACTGACGTTGTCGATGAGGTAGAGGACGACGAAGAGGATGCTGATGCTCTGACCGAGGTAGCAGAACCCCAACTTGGAGACGATCAGGTCGAGCCCCACCGCCAACCACAGCAGAAGCACACTGTACTTGCGCCACCTACATAGACGTCAGAAGACACACGCACCAAAACCCCTCCCTCACAGCTGCATCGGAACCTCCATCACTCGCGCTCTCCCTCCAGATCTCCTTCGCCCTGGTTCCTGCGTCTCTTGCTCCATCTCGTTCATGTTGGCGACTCAAATTTCATCTAGACACGTTCATCTGCAAACACAGAAAGATAAGTGACAGATATCAGCTCCAGATTCCCCGTCTCCTCCCTCGCCTTCTAGCCTGTGCTCTCTCCCTCCCTCCCTCCCTCCCTCCCTCCCTCCCTCCCTCCCTCCCTCCCTCCCTCCCTCCCTCCCGTTGCACCATACGCTCCCCCTCGTAAGGTTTCTAGGTGACAAATCAGGAAAGCGCAAAGGTAGGAGGATGGGAACGAGAGCTTATGACGGGATTCGAATAATATGCGACCTTGAGGTGATGGGCTATGAGGGGGCTGGGAGGCGAGATAACCATGGGATGAGTGGGGATGAGGCCAACAAGTTGCGATGAGAGAATGGTTGGGGATACGACGGGTGGGAGCGACGATGGCGGGGATGAGGGGGATGATGTGGATGCGAGGAGGAGGAGAAGACGAGGAGGAGAGGAGGAGAAGGAGGAGAAGGTGCAACTCGGATGAGCTTGACGCCTGGAATACTCGTTGGAAGGTCAGCGATACCTAATCTTCCCCTTCCCCCTCCCTTCCCTTCCCTCCTATCTGTTTGCTCATCTCCCTGCTTCTCTCCGAGCGCTCACTTCTTCGTCTAGAACGGTCAGACCAGCTTTCATCTCCCCCACGTGCATCCCGCGCTCTCCGCGCATCTGCTCGAGCTGTTCGAGGATGGAATCAGCGCTCCTCACTTCCCTAAGGCGATTCTTCTTCCTCTCTGCGGCAAGACTGTCGACCTTCCTTGGCTGGCTTCAATGGGACACAAGGTAGGAGGGGGAGGTGAGGAGGAGGAGGAGGAGGAGGAGGAGGAGGAGGAGGAGGCTCGAATGAAGCCTGGCCGTAGGTCGTCGGCGTCGACTGCTGCCCTGCTGCCGTGGAGGAGCTTGAGGCAGAGCACAAGCTGACGGCGACGAGAGGAGAAGGAAAGGAGTTCAAAAAGATGATCCTCTATCTCCCTGCCTCCCGCGCCTCCTTTACCTTCCTAGTCGGAGATTTCTTCCTCTTGCACGAGGGCGTTGCCGGCCGCTTCGAGGCGCTTGCGAGTGAAGAGGAGGGTGGGTGGTGACGCGGCTGCAGGCGTGCTTTGACCGAGGAGCGCTGGTCGCCATCCCCCCGGAGCATCGAGGAGAGTACGTGCAAGTGACCGACGGGCTGATGGAACGAGGGGGTCGCATCCTCCTGGTCACAGTGGAGCATGACGGATATTCCAACGGCAAGGTGACGCGAGGAAGGAGGAGGGAGGAGGGAGAAGAATGACGGCTTGCAGCTTGGCCCACCATACAGCATACCAGAAGAGGAGGTGAGGAGGCTGTACGAGGAGCGATACGTGGTGGAGCTGCTGCAGGTGAGAAGCGCTGGTCGCGGAGAGAAACTGACGATGAGCAGCGGAGAGAAGTGAAGGAGGAGGAAAAGCGATGGCGAGAGCGAGGGTGCTCGTACTTCCGCGAGAGCATTTACCTTATAAGGAGAAGAAAGTGAACTCATGCCATGATGACCTCCTCTTCTCGCGTCGCTCCTCCTCCTCGCCCGCCAACGCCGTTGGAGGCATCGAAGGCGCCCATGCGAGACACGCTGAGAACATCCTGAGGTAGCTGGAGGTGAGGGGAGGAAGAGACAGGGGGGGATGAGAAGAGGGGGATGAGAAGCGGAGGACCTGCTCGAGGACGGTGAGGCGAGGATGGATCTCAGACAGGAGGATGGTGAGGTTGCTGTTGTGCCTCTGAATCTCGCGGATCTTCTCCGTCTGCTCGCGGACCTTCTCGGCCCCCTGCTGATTGTGAGGGGAAGGGGCGGAGAGCACGAGCGGGGGGCGAGCGAGAAAAGAGGAGGGGGGAGCGAGCGAGAAAAGAGGAGGGGGGGGTGGCGAGCGAGCGAGCAAGGAGGGGGGGGGTGAGGGGTTTCTCTTGCCTCGTTGTTGTTGATGATTGCAATCTTGTATGCCTCCGACACGCGCTGCAAGGAATGAGAGGAGAGAAGATGGGGGAGGAGAAGGCAGACCTCCACTTCTTGCCGTAGAGTCGCATTAGCAGCCTCCTCCTCAAGCCTCTTGCTTCGCTCCAGTCGCAGTCCGTCATGCATGCGCACTAGTTCTGTTTCGAGAGACCTGCGGTTGATAGTGACAATGAGCCAACAAGGCAACGAGCTGAACCTTTTCTCCTCCTCGAACCTCCGCTTGAGCTCCTGGATATACTCCAACCTCATCTGCTCGTTCTCATATGCCTTGACACTCGTCAGCGCAAGCGCCGCCTCTCCTCGACAGCCTTCACCTTCCTTGACTCCTCCTTCAAAGCCTGCTCTCGTCTCGACGCCTCTGCGAGCTTCAGCTCAGCAGCTCGCAGACTCTCCTCCGCCTGCCATGTCCGATTCTCTGACATCCTGCAGATCGTCAGGTAGCGTCGCCACAAGCAGCTCCTCCTGCCTTCGCTCCTCGTCACTGCGAGTGACATGCTCCTGCAACATCGCCATGCGCTTCTCTGCCTCCTCCTTTTGCCGCTCAAACATGACGTGTAGCGATCGCAGCTCCTCCTTGCTGCCTCTCACGTGCGACTCTGCGGCTCGACTTCATCTCCTGCCCCTCCTTTCCTCTCCTGCCACGACCTGCAAGTCGCAGAGCTGCACGCAGCCAGTCGTTCTCCTCCTGAAGCGACGCGTGACCTGCAGGAGGTCCCCAGCTGCTGCCTTGTCATCCCCAGCAGGCCAGCCTTTGATATGTGTTCACCTGCCGCTGTTGCTTGGCTTCAGCTCCTCTCCTCCTCGTCCTCCTGCTTCTCTGCTCAAGGAGTCCAGGTACTCAGGTGTTCCCCTGCGCAGCTGGACTGTGTAGGTCTGGCAGGCCCATCAGCAAGAAGACAAGCCGGAGAACAAGTGAGACAAGAGACGAACTCGCCTGACCATGCTGGTCGAGGAAGCAGATCTCACAGACGCTGCCGATCTCGCCGATGATGAGGTGACGCAGCTCAGCGACATTCCTGTGAACCACCTCCTGATCGCCGACCCTCACGATCTGATCGCCGATCTTGATCTAAGCACACCATCATTTTCTCCTCCAGCTTCGTCTACTTCCTCTCCTTTACCTTGCCCGTTCGTTCTGCTGATCCTCTGGGCACCAGCTGCTTCACAAACACACCATCTCTACCTTTCTCTTCACCAAGCATCAGGCCCACACCTGCCTGCTCTGCTTCAAGTCAGCACCATCACCACCACCACCACCACCACCACCACCATCGTATCCTTCACCACCAACACCAACACCAACACCAACACCAACACCGTCATCATCTTCATCATTATCTCCATCTCCATTATGATTATCATAATCATCTCTGTCATCATCATCCTCGCAATCATCGTCTCAATCATCTCCATCTTCTCCATTATCCTTACTGGCGACTGACGGCATTGGAGCAACCTCCGGCGAGAAGCGATCGACGTGGTTTCGAGACATTCGCAGGAGGAGCGTGCGGAGCGAGAAGTCTGAGTCACGCGGGTCAACTAGAGCCCCTCCCCCTCCCCCTTCCCCTCTCTCCCTGTCCCTGTCCCTGTCCCTCTCTCCCTGTCCCTCTCCCTCCTCCCTCCTCCCTCCTCCCTCCTCCCTCTCTCCTCCCCCCCCATCGCATGGCATCTTCGCAGTTTCGAAACGGTCATTGTGTAACGGACGTACTTTTGTAACGGCTCACGTTTTTTAAGAGTCTCTAGTTGAGCAGCTCCCGGCACTCGAGCTGGTCAACGACAAAGGCGAACTCGATGGATCGCTCAGCCATGAGGCGGTACCTGTCCGACGCTGCGAAGTGACCTGAGCTCATGTCGGTGCGAAGCAGCATCGGCTTCTTGCTCTTGTTTTTCTCCCTCAGTCGTGCGACCCACTTAGCCGGTTCCCAGTAGGGCACGCGCGGGTCGTTGAGACCTGCGGTGACGAGGAGAGCGGGGTAGTGAGCGTCGCGAATGTTGTCGACGGGGCTGTAGGAGAGCATGTAGTCGAAGAAGCGCCGCTCGTTGGGGTTTCCCCACTCTTCCCACTCGGTGATGGTCAGGGGTATGCTCGGATCGCTCATCGTCGCCATGATGTCCACGAACGGAACGCCCGCGACGACGACGCGGAAGAGATCGGGACGAAGATTCATCACCGCGCCCATGAGCAGACCACCAGCGCTCCTGCCGTCCTTGAGGTCACACAGACGAGAGTTAGAGAGAGAGAGAAGGAAACCTGCCCGAGATGGCCAAGCGAGAGGAGGTGGTCATGCCGAGCTTGATCAAGTGCTCAGCACAGTCACAGAAGTCGGTGAAGGTGTTCATCTTGGTGAGAAACTTCCCCTGCTCCTCATACCACTGCCTTCCCATCTCTCCACCTCCTCTGATGTGCGCAATCGCATAGATCATGCCGCGATCCAAGAAGCTGATGGTCTTGGAGTCGAAGGAAGGGTCGATGCAGATACCATAGGAGCCGTACCCGTAGAGCATCATGGGGGAGGGAGATCTTGATTTCGCCCACGCACAGTCCTTGTGAAAGACCAGGGAGACGGCCACTTGCTCTCCGTCCCGTGCCTGCGCCATGATTCTAGCCGTGCGATACATGCTCCGGTCGTAGCCCGGCACCTCCTGCTCCTTGAGCATCGTTTTCTTCCTTGTTGTCATGTCATACTCAAATGTGGAGTGCGGAGTGACGAGAGAGGAGTATCCGAAGCGAAACAGCTTGCTGTCAAACTGCTTGTTCTTCTTGGGATACATGTCGTAGCACTCCTCGTCAAAGTGCAGATCGTGAACAGCTCCAGTCCGCATGTCCATGATCTTGCACATCTTCAAGCCATTGCTTCGCCCATTGATCACAACGTGATCCGCAAAGCATACAAGATAATCCAGCTTGGTCGACTTCTCATACGGAAGGACTTCAACCCAGTGATCCCTATACCATCGGGAGCAAGTCAACTCAGTAACGAGGCGCAGCAACCTTGTGCAAGGGGTTACCTGCTTGGACTTGAGATCTTAGTCTTCACCAGTTTAGAGTTGATGCACTTGTCCATGTTGGTGATGATGTAGAAATGTTCTCCCCAGTGCTCGACCGAGTATCTGTGGTCCTTGACTCGTGGCTGCACGACTGACAGCGTCGCCTTGCTGTCCTGCAAGTCGAGGACGTGGATCTCTGATGTAGTTGGCGAGCACGACTCGACGATGAGGAACCTTCCGCTGCAGGTCTTGTCGATGTCGATCCAGAAGAGCTCATCGTCTTCCGTGAACAAACAAACGTCTTTGCTCTGGTCCTCTCCCAGGACATGTTTCCATACCTTGTAAGGCCGATGCTCTGAGTCCATGGTCGTATAGAAAAATTCTGAGTTGCTCGAGCCCCAAACCATTTGCCCAGCCGATTCATCGACACCCAGCGGGATCAGTCGACCGGTCGCCATGTCCTTGATCTTGATCTCGAACGTTTCATACCCGGTGTGATCCACCGTGAAGCCGATGAGCTGATGGTCAGGACTGGGCTCAACTGAGTGAACGTCGCAGTACTTCTTTCCCTTGCTGAGCAAGTTGACATCCAGAACAACCTCCTCTGCGCTCGCCTTCTCCTTTGTGTCCGTCAACCTCCTGCAATGAATGGGATACGACAAGCCCTTCACCGTTCTGGTGTAGTAGATGTAATTACCCCAAGGATAGGGAACCTCTTCATCCGTTTCCTTCACGTGACTGACAAACTCTCTGTAGATCTTGGTGTGCAACCTGCGGAGCGGCCTGAACTTGTGCTCGAAGTAAGCATTCTCACGGTTCAGATGTGCGAGCACTTTAGGGTTGCTGCGCGTGTCGTCACGGAGCCAGTAGAGGTCATCTTTCCTCTTCAGCGCTGGATCCATTGGGCAAGGGCCACGATTTTCGCCTTCCACTTTGCCGAACAAAACGTCCTTGGGTGGGATCATTCGCTCGACGGGGACGCCATCTTCATCGAAAACGGGTTTCAAGAAAACCCGATACTTCCTCCACCTCCACCACAACCACAGGCCGCCCAAGGCAGAACAGGCTCCCGCTCCAATGATGAAAACAGCCTTGCTCTGCCAGAACCGAGGCGTCAGATGAGTGAAGCAAAGTTCAAACGAAGTGATCAAGAATAGCCGAGAAGACAAAGAATAAGAACGAAACATCAGGGGACACTTATTTGACATGATATAAAAATAAAAGAGATGTAACGAGAACTTTTTTCACTGCGTTTTTCTGTAATTGCCAGAGTATCTCTCACGAAATTTCAAACGAATAGTGCAATGCACAAATTTGCTGGGTACTGCGAGGAATATCGATGAGGCATGACATATGGACACAAGAAGAGCAGGAACTGGACAAGGTGAACAAGAAGACAGGGGAGTGAATGTAGATGAGAACAAGGACAAGAACAACAAGACAGCATGACTCGACAGGTCATGATAGCCCACAGGTGATCTTCGACCTTTGTAACCCATCGTACCTGCATGGATAGGCGATCAGCTAACATTCAGGGGGGTGGGGGGTACATGAATATAGGGTAGGGTCAAATGCACGGGGGTACTTTTTCAGCATAATTGTAGGTCTTAAAGGGGTAGGTGGGAACTTTGGTTGGGGTACTGAGGGTTTGAAAGACGTTATCATCACAAGGGGTAGGGTGATTTAGATCAAGACTAATAACTCCATACCCTAAAACATGATCATGTTTGAGGGGGTAGAAAGGGAAAGGGGGTAGGGGTCCAGGTATTGACTCTTCGCTCGCGGACTGTAGAGGGGGTAGGGGTGATACCGATGGCCTGTGGTACCCGGTACTTTCAGCACGTTTTACAGGGTGTACATATACCAGAAGGGGTTTTCTGTGTCATTCCCAACATCAACATGGCGCGACAGGAAGCCATTGTAGCCGGGGCAATGGCCACAACAGCGGCTGCGTTGTCGCTCCTACTGATCATCGTTGGATCTTCTGTACAGGTAGATCAAGTGTGAGAGATGGCTTGTGCGTGTGCCATGCCTGTGAGATCTGATTTAATCTTTGGTTGTCTCATTGAGGACCATTGGACAGTTGTTCGTGTTGTGATGTATGGATGTGGACTGATACTCTTTTTACAGAAAAAAGATTCAGTTCTGTATCAGACTCGCAAGATTGATTATCCAGTTCTCGTTAGAAAGACAGCTGGTCCCTCATTTGTGCATCCAACTCAAGCTCTGGCTCTTGAGGCCAGAGACTTACCCGTGGAGAGATACTACGAGACGGACGGGGTATTGTGTGTGATAGACGTTGGTTTGTACCAACTATCGTGCAGGTTGCATATGGAAGCATGGAAGGTGTTCCCCCTTACAAGTGCCCGGGTGCTTGGTGCGATGAGGTTTAGAAACGGCTTTAGTGTGAGACTGTTTCTGATCATTTCGCAGACACCATTCCGCGTGTATCCCGATGGCAGAGAGGAGTTTGGAGCTCCAAAAGACTTTACAATGGCATGGGGCCCTTGCAATGTTGCGATCCAAGATTGTTAGATTCATTCGCTTCTATGCTCCAACGTTAGTAACGAACGGTCGGTGACCCGTATCAGCGGCTCACGCTGTTGATTCAAGAGATGTGATGGGGTGGCGATGGGTTAGGCGATGGTTGTTTTTTTTTAATTGTTCGAATGATGGGATCTTGGAGTGAGATTGCAGCTATGCATCTATGTATTTTTCTCTGAACCCATCTCAAACATAACGAAACAAATCCAATTTGGAAGGCGGTTGAGTAAGAGTTTGAAGGAGCATCGGATAATTGAGTCAGAACAATGATCAAACTATATCCGCAGGAGTGTGCAACAAGTGCTGCGATCTTGCAAAAGAGGTGTAGATGGGGAGATGCATTCAACCTGAGGTAGCAAGATTTCTTGAAAAGATCATTGGTCCATCTCGAAGTCTACCTCCTGTGGTCCAGCATGTTTACCCTGGATATCAACGAGGGTGACATCAAGGAATAATCTTTTCCCAGCATGTATGTGATTCGCGTCCAGCACAAGCCATTCGCCATCTTCCTCTACCACCCTCGCACTTGCCCCTCCATTTATTTTGAATGTCGTGCCGAGGGCCACTGGCATGTCAGGTGGCAGTCCAACCATGTTCTTGGTGATAGTGTAAATCTTATCTTCCTCCTGCTTGCCAAAGAAATCATCAAGGAGTATTCTCGTTGTCTCACCAGATCTCAGTGTGGAGACGGCGTTTTCAACTTTGGCCGATACTTGAGATTTACCCAGAACGAACCGAGTAGCAATGAAGCCATCCGGCAGAACTCCGTCTTGTTTCAAAAACTTTGCAAATCCTCCACTTCCCTCTAGTTTCTCCCCCGTTTCCGCCGTTACGGTGTACTTGACTATGACCGTATCCCCTTTCACTGCTGTATTGCTAGGGCATTGATCCATTGCTCCCGCCCCAATCGCTACCATACGAAGCGAACTGCTTGACCTGTCTGTGACATTTGTTTTTAAGGCCGAATTCTGTACATGAAATCAGTGCACTCTAGACCGTTTAAACTACATACCTTGCGGAGAGCGAGGCGTGCACGTTGCTGAAACGTGAGTTCCCTTTTGGCCGATTGAATGGCAAAATATGGGTTGAAGCAATAGGCAGACGAAGTCACGGAAATGAAAACAGACATTAGCATTAAGAAGGTACCCTTCTGTCTCTCGGGCATGCCTCCGAGAATGACCATTTGAGTGTGCAACGAAAAAATTTGCTGAAGGCGATGAATAGCGAACTTGTAAGAACTTGATTATCAGGTGAGCAGCCAGACTAGCAGTGGCAGGTTGCGAAAAGGACTTGAGACACGGGAAACTTGGAAGAAGGAAGAGGCGGGGGGGAGGCGGGTGAGGGGAGAGACTGAGGGGATGAAGCAGGACTCTAGTCGCAGCAGCTGAACAATCATAAATGGCACCTTTGATCCAGGCTGGGGTGGAGTGATACTGATACCGGTGTATTTCTAATGAAAATGTAGTAGATGTGGTGGGTACTAGGGAAGAGGAAGACACGATGGTGAGGGTTACCCGTCATCCTCTTTTGTAAGTGCAGACCCTACCCTCAGTAACCCTATACAACCCCCTCCTTGAACCCCTACCCCGTACCTATGTTTGATCTTTTGTGGTACTCTGAAATGGCTCTCTACCCCCCCAACTTTCCATTAACCCCTACCCTCTCCAACCTCCAAATTAACCCCTACCCTCCCAGACCTGGGTTTTGCGGGGGTTGGGTTCGAAGCGCTCGGGTATGAGATATGAAAAGAAGTCTTTTCGGATAATCAGGAAAAACCACTGGTGCCATTGTACCCGTTACGATGCCGTTAAGCTCTGAGTGCCGAGTGTGAGTCAGTGAGAGGCTCAGCCGCGGCAGTGTCACGGCCCGCCGGCGGGCCTGTGCCCGGCCATGGCTCCTTGCAAGTTGTCGGCGGCGGTGAGGAGGACTGTTTGCATTACTAAGTTACTTGGATCGGTACCGTCAGCTGCACTGCCGCGTCGTCGCCGCCCGGCCGAGTCAATAATGCCGCTCGAGGCTGTGACACCACCGTCTCACCGCTGAAGGTGCCCCTTTCGTATATGATGAATTGGGGTACCTTTGGTGATGTGGTGGTCTGTCTGGTTTGAATTTTTGTACCACAAACGGTTTTTGAGTAATTTCATAAATGTTGTTCAAGTTTTGAGAGATTACTGATAGAATGTATATATGGTACAAAAGCTCCTGGTAACCCCTCTGGTTGACCCGGATCGGACCACGGTCACCCCGGGTGGTCCGAGCCTCGGCTCCCGGCGGGAGTCCGCTCGCCCGGCCGCGGCCGGCCCGGCCGCCCGGGGCCCAGTGCCGCGGCCTCGCCCGATCAGTGCCGCACAGCCGCGGCCCCCGGGTCCTTGGGCATTGATACCGGGCGTCCGACCGCCCGCGGCCGTCACGGGTGATGTTGGTCTCGGCTACCGGCGCTGACTCGGAGGCCCTAGTGAGGAGAGAATGAAGTTTTACTCGCAGAAGGTAAACTCTCTCTCTCTCTCTCTGTTATCTGAAGTTCTTGCCAATGGTTATTGCCCACTCAGCATGACTGTGAACTTGACGTTGTATCATCGTATCTTGACTTGGATCTGCTGACATTCTCTTGTTTGAGTGACTTTCTGACGTCCGATGTAACGTACTATTTCAGAAACTCGGGGGGAGGATGGTACGTATGCCAGCCGTGCCAGTCAGATAGCGCCGAGTTAACAAAAACTCTCCTGTAAACCAAGACGACTTACGTGGCGAGGCGGCATGTAGTACGTGGGATGAAGAGGGGACTTTCCTAGGGCCGTCTTGTTAAGGTCCTCTCATGTCTGGATGCTTGGGTTTCACATCCTAGCATACAGTCTATCTCTCATGTGCTCCTCAATTCTGGTTTTGTGTGCATTAAACTCGGTCTTGAGCAAAAACTGTCTTGTTACAACTAAGGTCGATGTGATATCTGCGTGACTTTGGACTAGTACAAGTCTAACAAACTTGTATTCCGTCAAGCCGCCGACAAGGAGCCGGCGTTGCCCGGGGGTCCGCCTGGGGCAGCGGCCCCGTGACGGAGGGAGGCTGGACTCCTCTGGAACACGGTACCGCTCGAGGTAGTCCTCCTCGCTAGCCTCCGAGTCAGCGGTAGCCGCGAGTCAGCGGTAGCTGCCCGTGACGGCGGCGACGCCGCAGCAATGCCCAAGGACCGGCGTGACCCGACCGATGCCGGGGAGGAAGCAGGCGAGCTCGGACCAGCAGCAAGCACCCCAGTGTTGTCGAGCTCTCCGGAGGCACCCGACGTCACAGTGAGGGACGGAGACGCTTGGCCAGCTCCGCGCCGATCGGCGGCGCCACTCTGGATGTTTCCCCCATCGGAGTCGGAGACCTCCGGTCGGAAGACTCCCCCTCGGGCGACTCGACAAAGAGTCCGAGGAGGAGCTGTCCTCTGGCTCGAGAAGTGCTTGCGCCCGCAAGGGCGTCATGCGCCTCGCACCAGACAAGAGCGCCTCCAGCGTCAGCTGCATGGTGAGGCGCTGATAGGTGGCGGCGCGTTTGCGAGCCAAGACCTCAGCAGCAGGGCCGTCATCAGGCACGAAGTGCCGACCAAACGCCGCATCCTCAAGAGGCATCGAGCGCTGAGCAATGATGTCCGCCAGATACCAGATGAAGCGGAGGGTGTCAGGATGCAGGGTACCGTCCGTCGAGATGGCAAGAGGGATGAACGCTCGAGGAGGAGTAGTCATAGCATATGCAGCGCGATGTTTGCGAATCTTCTCAGACGCTGCAACAGGGAGGAAGATGGATTTACTGGCAGAAGGTAAAAAGTGCCTCAAGCAAAACAAAGCAGGAACAAGCTAAACCTCCTGGCACACAGCGCACAGCGAGAAGCTGCACAATCACACACAAAACACAAGCCCGAAAAGAACCAGCACTGCTGGCACCCAGACGCGGCAGCGCCAGCCCAAGCGCGAAGCCGCCGCGGCCGCGCAGACAAGCAGCCTAAGGGTCAGGCAATCAAGCAACAAGCAGCAGGAGCATGCAGGAGGAATAAAATCCCTTAGACGCGATACCCGGAGGCAGCCGACTGACCACTGTCAGTCGAGACGTGCCGCCACCGTTGAAAGCGGCGGGCGGCCGCGGAGGGCGTCGAGGTTGACTTCCCCCCACTTGGTCAGGTCGGCAGAGCTACTAATGTAAGGGTGGACCAACGTCACGTCCGCCATCAAGCCCTCGTACTGCTCAGACCCTCGATCGCGGATTCCAGGGATGTGGATATCGCCCTTCATCTTGCGGCCATGAGGATGGGAGGGTACCTGCCGTCGAGAACGAGGATCCCCCACTGTATCGATGACGCTCTGAAGACCAGCTTCGTTGAGCATCGACCGAATCGTAGAGAGATGGATTTACGGGCAGAAGGTAAAAAGTGCCTCAACAACAAGCAGCAGGAGCATGCAGGAGGAATAAAATCCCTTAGACGCAGTAGACGCGATACCCGGACTCCGGCAGCCGACTGACCACTGTCAGTCGAGACGTCCGCTGCCGCCACAAAGCCGGCGGCCGCGGACGAAGAAAGGCATAGCGTTGTCGGGTCAAGGAACTTGCTGACAATTGGGATTTGTACCAGATCCAGGCATTTTCCAGTACAAAATTGTGTGTGAGTAAAAAATCGAAGGATTGGAAGGTTTGAAAATCCATTTCCAGCGCTGCAAGTTCAACGGCAACCGGGGGTAATTGAGAGCTTAGATAAGTAAACAGTTGTTCCTATTGCCTTTGCATAGGATCACTTAGTTAGGCCCTTGTATAGTGGAGTAATGATTTGTACCAGAACCTGATGGGTAGGCGTGGTAGTATTTCAAATGATTCGAACCCAACGGACGCGACAGGGGGGTGGGGGGTACAGGTCTTGGTCTGGTACTGTAATGGGTACCTTTTAAAATACATTTAGCAGAGAAGGTCTCCCTCCCCATCTCCCTGCCCTCCGCACTTGCGCATCCCTATCCTTCCCTGTCCATGAGTCTCAGACTCTCGTCAGACCTTCCCTGATGACCCTCAACTTTCTTTGACGCTTCTGTCTGCCTTGTCCTTCCTCAACTTGCTGGAAATTCAAACTCTGAAACCATGCCCATGAGTTGACAAGCACTGAGTTTCTCAGTTTGAATGCGGGAGGAAAGATGATTCATGGAATGAAACTCAGTGGTTCATATTTCAAGCTGATGGATTCGAGTCGTATAGCACTGGCTTATGACTGTCATTTTACTTCTCAATGATACAGCATCAAGAACTTGCTCTCGATCCATCAGTACTTGCAAAGGGTCATTTTTCAGACAGAACTTCGAGTTCATCTTTATTTTGCGTCGATCCACACGATGACATCTGTCTGATACACTATGTTTGATGAATAGCAAGAAAGAAAGGCTGAACTGTGCACCGCTTGACTGAATTTTCTACAATACTCTTCAATTGTGTAAGAGAGCATGTCACATGTAATCATACCAGGCAAACAAGTCACAGTATCGCTCCAAACCGCGTTGTGCTTGAAACTGAGACTCTACATGAAGATGTTATCGGACTAGTCGAATGATGTACAACTTTATGGTGATACGTGGTTTAGAACTGTTGCAAAGCGGACATGGGAATATGTAGCGGCCTAGGTGATGTTTTCAACGTACTTCAATAAAACAAAGCCAAGTTGTTGCTAACAACATCATCATTTCTCCATGAGCCTGCATGACCTGATGTACATGTTAGAGAAGTCGATGCTCATTCATCAAAAGAGTGGTTAGACAAGAAATTGGTAGATGCTTCTGCGCAGCATTCGGCCCTTGTGTATGTGGAATCGTGCACACTCACCGTCGTGTGGAAGTGTTTGCACATTCTTCTGCGCAAGTCTCATACATTGTCCTTATCATCTGGAATGGTTGACTTTCGCTGCAAGTAATATGAGCAGCGCAAAGTTGGCAAACTTATCCATATGGTTGGAATGCCGGCGATGCATTGCAGCCTGCATAGCACCTGAGCGCTTTGTTCCACTTATCGCTTGGTTCCAAACAATTGATGATATCGCAGCATGCAACTCGCTTTGGCCCAAGGGTGTCAAGCGAGGAAAAGATCAGAATGATGAAAGGGCGAGAATGCAGCGAATAAGAGAAGCTGGTCAGGCTCAGTTTCTTTGTGTAAGAAAATGCCAATGCTTTGTACATG